CCTCACACGGCCGTGCTCAGCGAGCGCTACGCGGCGCTCGGCCGCCGCATGGCCGCGCGGGCGGACCCGCCGGGCTGGGACGACGTCGGCGACGGGTCGTCGAAGCCGCTCGCGGCCGGCGGCGGCAACCTGCGGTGCATCAAGCTGCCCGTCTGCGACCTCGCGGGTACGTCGTCCTACGTCGTCGCCTTCGGGTGCGGCTACCCGCTCGCCAAGGCCCAGTCGCTCTGCGAGCGCCTCGCGCTGCTCCTGGGCCCGCTCGTCGACGCGGAGCTCGCGTCCCGGGACGCGACGGCGAAGAAGGCCAAGGGCGTGTCGCCCGAGGGCGCCAAGCAGCTCCGCGAGGTCCTCGAGCGCGAGATCGCCGCGGCCAACTCGTCCGCGCGGCTCCACGAGGTCGCGAACCAGGTCGAGGAGGTCCGCGCGATCATGGAGAAAAACGTCGAGATGATCCTCGACCGCGGCGAGCAGCTCGAGAGCCTCGACGCCAAGTCCGAGGAGCTGTCCACGGCGACGGGCATGTTCCGCAAGCAGGCGCGCAAGCTCAAGCGCTGGCACCTCATGAACCAGGTCAAGTACGGCCTCGCCGTCGGCACCATCGTGACCGCGTCCGTCGCCGTCCCCATCGCCATCCTCGTCGCCGCCTAAGCGCCGCTCGATACTAGTAGTACCGGGTTCAATTCGCATATGATCAACAGCGCATCCGTACGCGTGGACTCCACGGTGACCCGCGAGTTTAGGCCGCCTTCCCGCGCGAGATGGGCGCGCCCGTCCAGGGCGACGTCGCGAGGTGGTACTGCGAGAGCAGGTGCGGCACGCCGAAGATGGCCGCGCAGCCCGCGGCGTACTCGGCGAGGTCGGTGGGGCCCGGCGCGCGCTTCACGCCGCCGGTGGCGCACGCGTGGACCGCGTTCGAGAACACGACGAGGCCCAGCAGGATCGCGAGCTGCGGCACGGGCGCGGGCGGCCCGTGGATCGGGAGCCCCGTCGGCCCGCCCTTCCCGAGCTTGATCTTGACGATGCCCGAACTGATGAGCACGACGACGGGCGCGGCGGCGAGCGCCGGCTCGAAGCCGAGCCAATTCATGAGGTGGACCGACGCCATGCCCCAGTTGAGCTCGCCGATGAAGAAGGCCGCGTGTGTCAGCATGCCGAACAAGGGCTTCACATTCTCCTGGTCGAGGGGCACCTCCGCCGTGCACGCGTTGGTCAGCAAAGTCTCGTGCCAGTTGTAGGGGGGCGTGACCATGAAGATGAATCCGATCACCAGGAAGAGGCACGGCGCCGCCCCGCCGACGTCCATGCTCCACACAAGCGCCTGGGAATGCACCAAGGCTGAAGGCAAGGAAAGCTTCAATGTACTTACGCCGACGCCGCCACGCCGTACTTCTCGGCGAGCGCCCGGGGGATGGCCGCGTCGAAGAAGCCCGGCCGGCCGCGCGTCGGCACGGGCGCGTCGAGGAACCGCGCGTTCTTCATCGTCGTCAGGTACCGGCCCATGGCCGCGCCCGTCGCGACCGCGCCCGTCTCGACGGCGAGCAGGCTGCGCTCCGCGACGTCGTCGACGAGGACCGTCTCGCCGACGTCGACGAGCGCGACGATGGTGCCGCGCGCCGCGCCGTCCGGCAGCGTCGTCAGGCGGTCGATGTCCGCCTCGGAGAGGCCGTCGCGCGCCATGATGTCGCGGTGCGCGCCGCCGTCGGGGTAGGTCCGCCGGCCCACGTGCAGCGCCACGGTCTGGCCCTCCAACGGCACGAACATGGTGTGGTTCCGCGTCTCCAGCGTCTTGTAGCCGTGGGCCACGAGGCCCGCGAAGGGCATGTTCATGCTGAAGCAGGGGACGCGCACGACGTCCGCGTCCTCGGCGCCCGCGAGCGCGACGCTGTCGCACTGCTTGCGTCCCCGGCCGTCGCGGCCCACGGTCACGGTGACCTCGGCGCCCGCGCGGAGCGCGTCGACGCTGCCGGAGACGGACGACCGGTGGAAGAAGACGTCCTTGGCCTCGCCGGGCACTGTACAGAACCCGAAGCCCTTCTCCGGCCGCCAGCTCTTGATCGTCGCCGCCGCGCCGCCCGCTCCCGCGGGGCGGTCGACGATGACGCCGACGTCGCGTCCCGCGTCGCGCCGCTCCGCGTACGCGGCGAGCGCGTGGTCGAAGAGCGCCGCGTCGAGGCCGCCGGGCGTGTGCACGGACATGACGCCGAGGCGCGCGACGGCCTCGCAGTTGCCGTACTTGCCGTCGCGCGCGTCGTCGAAGAAGAGCATGTCCTCGTAGGCGACGCCGCTCTTGTCCCGGAGCGCCTCGAAGTGGCGCGCCTTGCCGCCCGTGTAGATCTCCTGGTAGGCCATGAGCTCGTCGAGCGATTTCCCGCCCGCCTCGAACTGCGACAGCAGGCTCCTCGCCCAGGGGCCCTTGTTCGTCCGGCTCGCGCAGGCGCATTTTGTATTCCGCCAGCGCGGCTCCGTCGCGACGGCCTCGAGCACGGCGGCGGCGCCGGGGAAGAGCGACACGTCCGCGTCCGCGACGGGGCCCGGCGCCGCCGCCGTCTGGTAGCCGGGCAGGCGGCGCAGCGTGTAGAGCTCGGGCGTCCAGAGCGTGTGGTCGAGGTCGAAGACGAGCAGCTTGGGCAGCGTGGTCGCCGTCGCCGAGGAGGGCGTCGGCGCGTCCTCCTCGGACGATGCGCTCGACACGAGGCGCGCGTCGGCCAGCGATGACGGCGTGCGCAGCGCTGGACGCAGCGACCGCGCGACAAAAGCTGTCGCAGAGGTCGCGCACAGCAGCATCGCGAGGGCTGAAGGCTGAGTGAGCATTGTTTTTGCAAGCGGAGGCTCGAAGCAGTCGTCGTCAGTGAAGGTTCAGCTCGACCCCCGCCATCGCTTGCTTCAGCTCGAGATCGCTTCACGCTTCACGTTGAAATACTAGTACTACCCGGCGCCGTACAGGGCGCGATGCAAGGTCCTTGCATCAAGCCGAAACTCCCTCAGCGACGCCAATTCTAAACCACATACGACGATGCGTCATTTCGCCAGCCTCGTCGCCGCGTGCATCGCCATCGAGGCGTGCATCGCCATCGAGGCGCCGCGGCGAGACCTGGCACGCGCGCCCCATGCGACCGCGCTCCACAACGCAGCCCGCGCGCGCGGCGGCGCCGGCGCCGGCCTGGAGACGCAGCCCGCGGACTCGCGCCGCGTGGCGCGCGGCGGCGTGTCGAGCGTCATCGACCTGCCGCGGCGCTTCCCCATCCTGGACTGGCTGCCCCTGCTCACGCGCAGGGACTGCGTCGCCGACGCCGTCGCGGGCCTCACGGTCGCGGCGATGCTCATCCCGCAGGCCATGTCCTACGCGTCCATCGCGGGCCTGAGCCCCATCGTGGGCCTCTACTGTTATGTCCCCCTCGTCGTCTACGCGTGCATGGGCACGAGCCGCTACATCGCCGTGGGCCCCGTGGCCATCGTGTCGACGACGATGCTCGGCGTCGTCGGCGGCGAGCCGACGGAGGCCGCGCGCCTCGCCCTGGCGTCCTGCGTCATGTTCTGGAGCGGCGTCCTCACGACGCTGTTGGGCGCGCTGGACCTCGGCGGCTTCATCGAGGCCCTCGACCACGACGTGCTGAGCGCCTTCGTGACGTGCTGCGCGGTGAACATCGGCTGCAGCCAGGCGGGCGCCGCGCTCCGCGTGTCCGCGGCGCGGTCCCACGTGCCCGCGGTCGGCCTCTGGAACGCCGCCCGGGCGGCGCCGGGCTTCCACGGGCCGACGCTCGCCGTGTCCCTGGCGACGGCGGCGTTCCTCGCGCTCTGCCGCCGGCTCCCGCTCGACGCGGTCCTGCCCGCGGCCGCGCCGAAGAACCTGGTCGGCAGCCTCGGCCCCTTCTTCGCCATGGTGCTGGGCGCGTTCGCGAACGCGCGCTGGGACCTCGCCGGTGCGGGCCTCCGGGAGGTCGGCCGCGTGCCCGCGGGGCTGCCGACGGTGTCGAACCCGCTCTTCCACCCGAAGCTGCCGTCGAAGCTCAAGGACGTCGCCGTCGTCACGCTCGTCATGCTCACGGAGACGCTGTCCATGGGCAAGGCTTTAGCCGCGCGCGACGGCCGGAGCATCGACAACTCGCAGGAGGCCGTGGCCCTCGGCGCGGCGAACGTTTTAGGCGCGTTCTTCCGGACCTACACGATCGCGGGCTCGTTCTCGCGGTCCGCGGTCAACGTCATGACCGGCGCGACGTCGCAGCTCTCGGCGCTCGTCACCGCGGGGTCCGTCGTCGCGACCTTGCTCTTCTTCACGTCGTCCTTCGAGCGCGTGCCCAAGGCCGTCCTCGCGGCGATCCTCATCACGGCCGTCTCGGGCCTCGTGGACTCGGAGCGCCTCGCCGCGCTCCGGCGCGACGGCGACGTCGCGGGGCTCTGCCTCTGGCTCTCCTACTTCGCGTCGATGATGGCCCTCGGCGCGGCCGAGGGGCTCCTCCTCTCCGTCGCCATCCACTACGGCGCGAGGACCGTGCTCGGCTTCTAAGGGGACCTTGTTTTTTGTATCACACACGCCTAGAGGGGAGGGCGGGCAGTGAGGGCGGGTCACTTCCGCCCGCGGCGTGCTGTGGCTGCTCCAGGGGCTGCTCCGTGACTGCTCCATCGCCCTGCGAAGGGAAGCTCTCCGATGCCGGTCCTAAGCTCTGCCGAGGAGTGATGCGCCGCGGCTTCCTCTCCCAGCAGCGGCAATCGCACGCGCCGGCGCCGGCGCCGGCGCCCGCGCCGATCGATGGGAAATGCCTCGTCTGCGCGGCGGCGCGCACGGCCAGCGACCGCAACGCCGACGCGCGCGTCTTCGGCGCCCCGGCCTGCGCCGCCTGCGTCGCGCGCTGGGGCGACGACGTCGCGCTGCGCACGCCCGGCGAGTGCCTGCGGCTCCTCAAGCTCGGGCGCCTCGCGCCGCACATGGAGGCCTACGCGACGACGTGCCCGGCGTTCCCCGCGCTCGCCGACTCCGACCTCGCGGCGGCGCTCGCGAACCTCCGGGCGAACCGGGCCATGGGCAAGAAGCGCGCGGGCGCCGCGCCCGCCGCGGTGGGCCGCCCGACGAGCCGGCTCCTCGACGACGCGACGCTCCTGCGCATGTTGCGGGGCCCCGACTACGACGTCCGCGGCTTCGAGGCGCCGCGGACCGCGCGCGCGCTCCGGGCCTGGGTCGAGCGGTCCCCCGAGGGCTTCGGCCTCTACGGCGCCTACGCGTTCCTCGAGGCGCTGCTCCAGAACCCCGGCGAGCGGCGCGTCGTCGACGCCTGGGCCTGCGAAAAGACGTTGGCGGTGCGCCGCGCGCTCCGCGGCCGCGGCGCGCGCTTCGTCGACGCGGCGAGTTTGCTCGCGTTGTCGCTCGCGAGCCGCGGCGCCGCCTACCTCTTCCTCCACGCGGCGGCGCTCTGGCGAACCGTCGCCGTCGCGGCGTGCCCCGCGCTCGACGACGGCCGGGACCGGCGCGCGCTCGAGTGGCGCGCGGCGCTCCACTTCCAGCGGCTCCGGGCGCGCCGCGGCGCGGCGACCGCGGCGCCGCGCGTCCCCGCGACGGCGACCTGCGTGCCGCGGCTCATGGTCGAGGCGCGGGAGATGCTCGGGAGCCCGCCGCCGGGCTTGTACGCGTCGCCGGCGGACGAGAAGGACGTCACGAGGTGGATCTGCACGATCTGCGGGCCCGCGGGGTCGGCCTACGAGGGCGGCATGTTCCGCCTCTCCGCCGACTTCCCGCCGGACTACCCGCTGAACCCGCCGCGCGTCGCGTTCCTCACGGCGCTCTTCCACCCGAACGTCGACGCGCGGTCGGGCCGCGTCTGCGTCGACTTGCTCGAGCCGGACCACTGGACGCCCGCGGCGTCGATCCGCGTGCTGCTGCTGAGCCTCCAGAGCCTCCTCTGCGACCCGACGGCGCTCGACGCGGCGTCGCCCGCGAACGTCGAGGCCGCGCGCCTCATGGCGACGGACCGCGCGGCCTTCGACGCGCGGAGCCGCGCGGACGCCGACGCGAGCCTCGATTTTTATCGAAATGGCGAGGGGCCGGTCCAACCCGAAAGCCCGCCGCCGCCGGAGCCCGAGGACGCGCTCGGGGACGACCTCGACGCGGAGGACGAGCGGCGCCTCGCGTCGCTCTCCGTCTCCGGGGAATCCGCCGCACCCAGCGACCTCTTCGACGACGAGCCGCCGCGCAAGCGCGACCGGATGGTGTAAGCGCTGATGTTGACGACGAGGTGCCGGGATCGTTAGCTTGCGGGACCGCTCCCGGCGCGCGATGAGCTAGCACTCAAACGCGCTGACAAGAGAGCCTAGGCTTCGGTGTGAGTTGCATAACGACGAAACACCACAACCAACGAAGTGTACACGAACTCACAAACGACACGCGAATCACGAACTCACAAACGACACGCGAATCGTACAAGTTACACATGAACGACAGTGACTCCGACATCGAGATCGAGGCCGAGAAGACCGCAGAGGAGCTTTTAAAGGAGCGCGAAGCTGCTGCGGCCGCGCGCGGTGATGTCCTCGAAGTAGACGACGCGGAAGACGAGCATCCCGTTGAGGACCGCAAGCCGGTCGTCGACCGGAAGCCCGTCGTCAAGCCCGAGGTGTGGAAGCGCCCGGACCGCGCGAAGCTAGAGTACGATGCCATGCCCGCGCCCGCGCCCGCGCCGTGGCTCGCGCGGAACGGCGGCGGCGCCGCGCGCGGGAAGAAGGCGCCGGACTCGCTCGCGCGCGACCTCAAACAACTGTCCATCGACGCGGCGTCGCGGAAGGCGTCGGCCCTGCGGCGCGAGGGCGTGAAATTGGAGATCAACCTCGACAGCCCGGCGCCCTTCGCGGCGTTCGCGTTCGGCGCGGCGGCGGCCGCCGCCGGCGGCGCGCCCGCGGCGGCCGTCGCCGCCGTCGCCGCGGCGGTCGCCGCCGCGCCCGCGGCGGCGCCCGAGGCCCAGCTCCTCTGCGACCTGCCCTGCGACGTCGACCGGAAGCGCGAGAAGTGCGTGCGCCACCTGCACGGCGTCCGCGTGCCGTTCTGCTTCGACGAGCCGCTCATGCCGCAGCAGTTGGTCATGCAGCGCGTCGTCCGGGCCATCCTCCACCGCGAGGCGGCGCTCCTCGAGTCGCCGACGGGCACGGGCAAGACGCAGGCGCTCCTCTCCGCGGCGCTCGCGACGCAGCGCCACCTCGCGCTGAAGGGCGAGAAGGTCGGCAAGATCATCTTCGCGACGCGGACCATCGGCCAGGTGCGCCAGCTGCCCGGCGAGCTGCGCCGGAACCCGCACCGCGCCGTGTCCGTGCCCCTCGCGAGCCGCGTCCACTACTGCACGAACGAGGCGCTCGCGGACGAGAACGCCAAGTCGTCGGCGCACCTGTCGCAGACCTGCCGCAAATTGGCCAAAAAGGTCGAGAAGTTCCGCTCCAGCTCCGCCGACTTCGTCTGGGACGACGCGAATCCCCACGAGTCGCGCCAGACCCAGGTGGGCTGCGCGCACTACCGCGCGCTCGCGAAGCCCGGCCTCGCGGGCGACGTCCACGAGGCCGCGACGCCCGGGTGCGGCTGCGCCGCGTCGAGCAAGCGCAAGCTCACGGACGTCGAGGATCTGGAGGGCGTCGTCAACATCGAGGACCTGCGGCGGCTCGCGCGGGGCCGCGGCGGCGACGGCGCGGGCGGCTGCGCGTACTACGCCGCGCGGTCTTTAGCCGCGACGGCGCACATCGTCTTCTGCCCCTACAACTACCTCATGGACCCGGGCATCCGCGCGGCGACGGGCATCGAGGACTACCTCGAGGACGCCATCGCCATCGTCGACGAGGCCCACAACGTCGAGGGCGTCGCGCGCGACGGCGGCTCCGCGGAGAAGACGGCGTTCGAGATCCACGCGCTCCACGAGTACGTGACGGGCAAGGCGCGCCGCGCGGCGACGATCGGCGAGGCCGTCCAGCTCGGCGCGCTCGAGTACGTCGTCACGCACGTGAAGCGCGTCCTCGAGGAGGCCGAGGTCGCGTTCCGCGGGCCCAAGGACGTCGACGACGACGACCCGGCCGCGCCGGCGACGCAGGCGTCCGCGAGCCTGAAGCGGCGCCAGCGCTACCGCATCCCGCCCGAGGACCGGGACGTCGTGCGCGGCTACGACTGGGGCGCCGCCGACGGGCGGCGCGACATGGGCGGCTTCTTCGAGTGCCTGCGGCTCGACGCCGCGATCCTCGACAACGCGGCGGCGGAGGCGGCGTCCGTCGCCGAGCAGGCGCGCGCGTCCGACGGCGACGACTTCATCTTCGGCGACCAGCTCACGTCGCTCGTGGGCGTGCTGCGGCTGGCCTGCGCGGAGCGGCCCCACTACGCGGGCTGCGTGCGGGCCTGGCACAACATGGGCACGAAATTCCCGCGCGCGTTCGGCCGGGGCAACGACGCGCGGCGGCCGACGTGGGGCCTCGAGCTCTGCTGCTGGCTGCTGCACCCGGGCGTCGTGCTCGACGGCCTCGTGAAGAAGGTGCGCTGCATCGTGCTGGCGTCGGGGACGCTGAGCCCCGTCGAGAAGACGGAGCGCGAGCTCGGCGTCGAGTTCTCGCGGCGCATGAAGGGCAAGGCGCTCGAGGCGAAGCACGTCGTCTGCACGCGGCGCCAGGTGCTCGTGCGGGCCCTGGGCTGCGCGGGCTTCGCGGAGCGGAAGCCCCTGGACCTGCAGTGCACGTCCGCGAACCTCAAGCAGGACCTCTTCCGCCTCGCGCTCGGCAACGCGATCGCGACGCTCGCGGAGCAGACGCCCGGCGGCGTCCTCGTGTTTCTGCCGTCCTACGCCGTGCTCCACCAGCTCGCCTACGCCTGGAAGAACGCGGCGCTGCAGCAGAAGTTGGGGGGGCGGGGCCGGACGCTCTGGAAGCGGATGGAGGCGGCCAAGGGCACGGTGCTCGTCGAGCCGCGCGGCGGCGACGAGGGCATGACCCACGACGAGTGCATCGCGCTCTTCAAGGACGCCATCGCGTCGCGGAAGAAGTCGGCGCTCCTCTTCTGCGTCTACCGCGGCAAGTGCAGCGAGGGCATCTCGTACAACGACGACGCGTGCCGCCTCGTCGTCTGCGTCGGCATCCCCTACAGCCCGAGCCACGACGACCTCGTCAAGCGCAAGAAGTCCTACAACGACGCGAAGATCGCCGGCGGCCGGCCGCTGGGCCCGGGCCGCGACGGCCGGCTCGTCGCGGACCCGCTCGCGATGAGCGGCGCGACGTGGTACTCGATGCAGGCCTTCCGCGCGCTGAACCAGGCCCTGGGCCGCTGCGTGCGCCACCTCCACGACTACGGCGCGCTCGTGCTGCTCGACGCGCGCTTCGTGGAGAACGCGGGCAACGCGCGCCACGTCGCGACGTGGCTCCGGGCCGCGATCGAGCCGACGTCGCTGGGCAAGCTCGCGCACGACCTGCGGGCCCACTTCGTCGAGGCGCCCAAGTTCGTCGCGCGGGACTTCCGCGAGCGCATGGGGCTCCGCGCGAAGCCCCTCAAGCCCGCGGCGGCGAACGTCGACGCGAACGTCGACGCGAAGCCGGTGGCGGACGCGAAGCCCAAGCCCGCGCCGCGGCCCGCGCCGCCGCCGCGCGCGGCGCGCGCGCCGCCGCCGGCCGCGGCGTGGGCGCCCAAGCTCGCGGCGCCGGGGCCGGCGGCGGCGGCGGCGCCCTTCGTCTACGACCTCGCGTCGAGCTCCGACGACGACGACGGCGGCGCGCCGAAGCGGCCGCGCGTCTCCGAGGAGCTCGACGACCGCGCGGAGCGCGCGAACCTGCCCCGCACCTTCTTCTGCGCCATCAGCCAGAGCGTCATGAAGGACCCCGTCCTCGCGGCCGACGGCCACACCTACGAGCGCGACGCCATCACGCAGTGGTTCGCGCGGAAGGACACGTCGCCCATGACGAACGAGCCCCTCGCCCACAAGCACCTGACGCCGAACATCGCCATCCGCTCCGCCATCTTCGAGCTCCTGGCGCGGTCGGGGACCTAAGGTTGTCTCGGACGGAAAGTTGAATTCACGGTTCACTTTTTCTGCCACAGGGGAGCAATGGCCCTCCCTCTCTCGATCATCGTCGACGATCGCAAGTTTAACGTCCAGGTCCCGGACAAGCTTCAAAAGAAGACCGTCGGCGCGCTCGTGCGGAAAATCACGAAGCGCGCGGGCTCGATCAAGGCGACCGTACGGAACCGCTCCGTCGACGAAGCTGCCATCGTCGCCGAGGCGCTCGCCGCCGGCGACGAGGTGCTGGTGACGTTCGCGCCGGCGGCGGCGACGGCCGATGCGCCGGTCGCGACGCCGACGACGCCCGCGACGCGGCGCCAGGTGCTGCGGAGCGTCGCCGCGTTCGCGTTCGGCGACGGCCCGGGCGCGGCCGACGGCCTCCGCGCGGGCGTGTTCCGCGGCGACGCCGTGGCCAAGTACGCGCTCGGCGCGGCGCTCGCGCAGGCCGGCGACGACGCCGAGGCCGCGGCCAAGGCCTTCGCGTCGTCCGCGGCCCTCGCGGAGGCCGCGGGCGAGGCCGCCGTCGGCCGCCTCGCGCGCTGCGGCGAGTGCCGCGCGCGGCTGCGCTGCGGCGACGCCCTCGCGGCGGCGCGCGCGGCGGTGGACGCGCCCGGCGGCGACAAGGACGGCGACGCGCGGCTCTGCGCGGCGCTCGCGCTCGTCGCGAAGGCCTCGGCCGAGGGCGCCGAGGGCTCCGCCGCGGCCGAGGCCGTGCGCGAGGCGCGGCACGCGGAGATCCTGAGCGCCGGCCCCGCGCCCGGCGCGCCCTGCGTCGACGCGCGCCGCGCCGCGCGCGCCGCGGCGGCGGAGGCCGCCGCGCGGCGCGCCGCGGGCGACCTCGGCGAGGCCGTCGCGGCCGCGGAGCGCGGCGTCGCGTACGACGGCCGCGCGCCGGAGCCGCGCGTCGCGCTCGCCGTGGCCAAGGACGCCATGGGCGACACGGACGGCGCCCTCGCGGGCTGGTTCGCCGCGAAGGCGCGCGTCGGCGACCACGCGTTCCGCGCGGAGATCTCGGCGTGCGCGACGGGCGGTTTGCGGCGGTCGTTCCACCCGACGGACGAGGACTGCTTCGTCTGCACCTTCCCGAAGAGCGGCACGACCTGGCTCCAGATGGTCTGCCTCCTCGTCGTCGACGAGCGGCTCCGGTCGAAGCGGTCGATCGACGCCGTCACGGAAGCGCCGTGGCTCGAGGCGGCCGTCGCGACGGGCCACTGCACGCTCCGGGAGCTCCAGGACGGCGCCTACCCGCGGAACCCGCCGCGGCCCCGGCGCGTCTTCAAGACCCACGCGACCGTGGCCCGGTTCCCCGCGGCGGCCGCGCGGCGGCCGGGCGGCGCCGCCGCGCCGGACCCGGGGCTCAAGGTCCTCGTGTGCACGCGGAACCCCAAGGACACCTGCGTGTCCCTCTACCACCACGCGCGCGCCATGCCCAGCGAGACCCACGACTACCACCTGACGTCGGGCTGGAACCAATTCCTCGCGGACTTTCTGGACGGCAACACGGCCGAGGCCGAGGCGGGCGACTGGTTCGACTGGACGCTGCGATGGCACGAGGCGTCTCTCAAGCACCCGGAGAACGTGCTCCTGCTCCACTACGAGGCCATGCTCAAGGACCCGGCCGCGGCCGTGCGATCCGTCGCCGACTTTCTGCTCGTCGACGTCTCCGACGCGGACGTCGCGCTCATCGTCGAGCGGTCGAGCTTCAAAAACATGAAGCGGGACCACGAGGCCCAGATGGCCGACTACGAGAAGAAGACGGGCTCCGTGACGCGGCGCCCGGGCGAGAGCGCGCACTTCCGCCGGGGCGAGGCCGGCGGCTGGCGGGCCGCGTTCTCCGAGTCCGACGCCGCCAAGTTCGACCACCTCTACGCCATCAAGATGGCCGGGTCGGGCCTGCAGCACGACTTCGGGTGAGCTCGCGCCGCGATGTCGGACCGCGCGTCGCGCCATTTTTAAGGTCGCGCGGACGCGTCACTGGAGGCTCCATTTCCATGTAGCCTCCATGTTGCAGGAGTTGTTGCAGGTCACGTTTGCAGGTCAACACTTGGAACCTGCTTAGCTCGATTCGGGCTCGAGCTCACTGAGCTCTCTGACGATGTGCTGCAGCGCGAGAGACGTTTGAGTCGACGCTGAGCGCATGCATCTGAGACCATGCTGCACCGCGATTCTCGCAGCGCTGGTGGCGTCCTACGCGCCATTGCACCTGCACACGCATCGCACGCATCGTGCACCGCCGCGCGCCGCCGCCGCGTCGCGCCGCACTGCCGCGTCGCGCCGCACTGCCGCGCCGCTCAATGCTGCGCCGCTCGACGATGCGCTGCCGCCGCCGAGGACCGATGAGCTGTCGCGCCGCGTCGCTCTCCGCGCGGCGGCGCTCGCGGCGGCGCTCGCGGCGCGGCCGGCGTCCGGCGACGCCGGCGACGCGCTGCGCGTGCTCGTAGCGGAGGACGACATGGTCGCGCCGCCGCTCGACGCGCGGCGCTACCGACTCGTCGCGCTGCCCAACGGCATGCGCGCGCTGCTCGTCTCGGACCCGGGCGCGGAGACGTCGGCGGCGGCGCTCGACGTCAAGGTCGGCTTCCTGAGCGACCCCTGGGACCGGCCGGGCCTCGCGCACTTTTGCGAGCACATGCTCTTCCTCGGCAACGCCAAGTACCCGGCGGAGGGCGAGTGGCGGTCCTTCCTCGAGACGCGCGGCGGGTCGTCGAACGCGTACACGGCCGCCGAGGACACGTGCTTTTACTTCGACGTCGACGCGGGCGACTTCGACGCGGCGCTCGACCGCTTCGCGCAGTTCTTCGTGAGCCCGACGTTCTCCGCGTCGGGCGTGAACCGCGAGCTCGAGGCCATCGAGTCCGAGGACTCGAAGAACCAGCAGTCCGACGGCTTCCGGCTGCTCCAGCTCGACCGGTCCGCGCGCGGGGCCGCGACCGAGGACCACCCCGCGAGGAAATTCGGCACTGGCAACCGGGCCACGCTCCTGCAGCGCGGCGACCGCAGCGCCGACGTCGCCGAGAACGCGCCGCCGGGCGACTACAACTCGCTCAGACGCGCGCTCGTGGACCACTACGACCGCTTCTACGACGCGGACCACATGGCGTTGGTCGTCCTGGGCCGGGACCCGCTGGACGTCCTCGAGCGGTCCGTGGCGCGGCGGTTCGGCGACGTGCGCCGCGGCGCCGGGGGCGACCGCCGGCCCGCGGCGGCCTGGGCGGGAAAGCCGGCGCTCCGCGCGGGGCTCGCCGACGGCGGCCTGGCGCCCGCGCTCCTGGCGGCGCCCGTCGGCGCGACGCGGCGGCTGTCCCTGTCGTGGCGCTTCCCCTACGACGGCCCCGGCGCCGGCGCCATGGATCGCTGCGACGCGGGCCGGCGCGAGAACCTGCGCTACAAGCCCGGGAGCCTCGTGTCGTCGGTCGTCGGCGACGAGGGCGCGGGCAGCCTGCTGTCCTGGGCGAAGCAGCAGGGCTACGCGTCGGGCATCACGTCCTTCGCGTCCGGCGACGGGTCCTGCGACGGGAGGTTCGACGTGTCCTTCGAGCTGACGAAGAAGGGCCTCAGCTTCTGGCCGGATCTTGTGGCGGCTGCCGTGGGGGCCGTCGCCGCGCTCAAGGCGTCGGGCGTGCCGCGCTACCGCGCCGAGGAGCTCGACGCGCTCAACGAGCTCAACTGGCGCTTCTCCGAGCCCGCGAGGCCCGGGCAGCTCGCCAAGGCCCTCGTGACGAACGTCCAGGAGGTCGGCTGGGACGCGAGCGGCGACGACGGGAAGCGGCTCCTGTCGCTCTTCCGCCGCTCCGGCGCCGCCGCCGGCGCCGAGAGCCGCGCGGCGACGGACGCGGCCGTGGCCGCCTACCTCTCGGCGCTCACGCTCGACAAGCTGCGCATCACCGTCGTCGCCCGCGAGTTCCTCGCCGACGGAGACTTCTGGGGCCCGCTGGACCGGCGGGAGCGCTGGTACGGCACGCGCTACAAGGAGTACGCCTTCGACGCGCCGTCGATCGCGTCGCTCGCGGCGCTCCGGGCGCCGCCGAGGGGCGGCGTCGCGCTGCCGAAGCCGAACAAGTTCCTGCCGCGGGACCTGCGCATTCGCTTCCCGCCGGTCGCGGCGACGCCCGCCGTCGAGGCCGTCGACGCCGCCGCGCCGGAGCCGCTCGGCGACGCGTCGGGCTGGACGGGCCGCTACGCCGGCGACCGCTACTTCAACCGGCCCCGCGCGATCGTCTTCGCCGGCGCGCGCGTCCTGTCGGTCGTCGAGGACCCGACGTCCGCCATGCTCGGCAAGATCTGGCGGCTCAGCGCGCTCGACAGCCTCCAGGAGCGGCTCTGGCCCGCGCGCGTCGCCGGCCTCCAGTACTCGCTCGAGGTCGGCGGCCGCGGCGTGTCGCTGTCGTTCTCGGGCTACGCCGACGGCCTCGGCGCGCTCGCCCGGGACGTCTGCGGCTTCGCGGCGAAGCACGCGGGCCCGGCGAACGCCGGCGACGCGCTGCGCTACGTGGACCTGCTCCGCCGCGACCTCCAGACGAAGTTCAAGCCCTACGAGACGACGGGGCTCGCGTCGACGCTCGCGCTCACAAAGGACCAGCCGTCGGACGCCCAGCTCCTCGCGGCGTTGGACGGCCTCGCGTCCGACGGCGGCGCGGCACTCGTCGACCGCGTGCGGCGCTTCTCACGCGAGCGGCTCTGGGCCGGGGGCGGCGCCGTCGACGCCGCCGGCGCGGACGTGCTCGTCGAGGGCAACTTCGACCGCGCCGAGGCCGCGGCGCTGTTCCGCACCGTCGCCGCGGCGCTGCCCCTCGCGACGCGGCCGCCGCCCGCGGGCGGCCGCCGGCCCGCGCCCGTCGGCCTCGCGCTGCCGCGGTCCTGCGCGCTGCGGCTCGGCGCGGAGTCGATCGGCCCCGACGAGGCCCAAAACGCCTGCGAGCTCGTCGTCGGCGTCGGCGCGGGGCGGCGCGCGACGGCGCTCGCCAACGTCTACGCGACGCTCTTGAAGGCGACCTTCTTCGACACTTTGCGGACCAAGGAGCAGCTCGGGTACGTCGTGCAGCTCGGCCTCCGCGCGCTGCCCGGCGCCGCGCGGCCCGCGGCGCTCGTCCTGCTGGTCCAGGGCGACGCGGCGCCGGCGAAGCTCGCGAAGCGCCTCGCGGCGTTCGTCGACGACGAGGCGACGGCGGCCGTGGCCCGGCTGGACGACGCGGGCCTCGCGAGCGTCGTCGCGGGGCTCGTCGCCGCGAAACTGGAGCCGGACCGGCGGCTCTTCGACCAGACGGGGCGCCACTGGGAGGAGATCCGGCGCTGCCGCGACGCGGCCGTCGAGGGCCGGGCCCTCGCGCCGGACTGGGTCCGGCGCTACGAGGCCGCGGAGACGCTCAAAAGCCTGACCGCGGCCGAGGTCCGCGACCACTGGACGTCGACCGTTCGTCCCGGTGCCGCGGGTACGTTCGGCGTCGAGGTCTACGGGCGCCGCGCCGCGCCGGAGCCGCCGCGCGAGGGGCAGCTGGTCGCGAGGTCGCCCTTGGAGGCGCGACGGTTCCTCGCGCCCCTGGACCTGCCGGTGTCGTAAGGTGCTTAGTACGTTCTATTGCCATAGCTCGAGCTTCTTCATACGGCCTTACATCGGCCCGACCTGCCTCCCACGGCGTCCGTGCGGCGGCGGGTGGCGCGGCCGGCGGCGGCCGTCGTCGGGCTCGACCCCGCAGGGCGCGCAGTAGCCGCCCGCGCGCGCGGCCGGTGCCGCCGGCCGCCGCATCATGAGGTCGTCGTCGAAGCGGCGGCGCGCCGCCTCGGCCGCGGGGAGCACGTAGCCGGCCGGCGGGTCGTAGCCGAGGCACCGGTAGTCGCCGTGGAAGAGCGCGACGAGCAGCCGCGCGGCGTAGGGCGTGAGCGTCGCCGCGGAGGTGTTCTGGTAGCACTCCTGCTGCGCGGCGTGGACGCGCGCCGCGCCGGGCCGGATCCAGGACGAGTCGAAGCGGCCGCCCGCGGCTCCGCGCGCGTCGACGACGCGCTTCAGGCGCGCGAGCTCCGCGTCGAAGTCCTCGATGCGCCCGATGAAGTCGAGGTGGTCCACGGCGGAGAGCTTGAGGATCTGCGGCCAGGCGTGGAACATCTGCTTGGACGCGGCGCCGTCCAGCGCGTTCTCCGGCGACGCGAACGCCTCGAGCAGGCCCTCGACGCGCGTCGCCGCGTCGAGGCACTCGCGCTCGCGGCCGTAGATGGTCCGCAGGGCCGAGAGCAGGATGTCCAGCGGGTCGCGGACGAAGGTGAAGACGACGTAGTCGCTCCGGTTGTGGGCCTCGAAGCACGCGTACTGGCCTCTTCGGATGCCCGTGCCGGTCTCGCGGTAGTCGCCGCGGCCGTGGCCGAGGCCCAGCATCTCGAGGATCGTGCCCGTGCCCGCCTTCTGGTTCGCGACGAAGACGACGCCGAACTCCTCGACGACGGCGACCTCGTTGCCGCAGAGGTGCTTGCTCGCCTGGAGGGACGTGGGCGCGAAGTGCTCGAAGGCCGCCTGCACGCGCCGGACGGACCGGTAGTCGGCGCAGGTCGGCGAGTTCCAGGCGTCTTCCGGCTCGAGCGCGGCGGCCGCGAAGACGAGCACGAGGCTGCCCAGGACGCCAGGCCGAGCTCCTCTCATCGCAGCTCGTCGCGGCTCCTTTGCATCAAACATCGACCCGAGGCCTCGGCACGCTCGGCGCCAAATCGCTGGCATGGAGTCGGTGTGCTCGATCGCAGAGACCACTACCGCGCGACGCTGATCGGTGTGCTCGATCGCAGAGACCACTACCGCGCGACGCTCATGGACACGCTCACGCCGACGAAGCGGCGCCACGACGGCAGCGTCGTCGGCGGCGTCCAGCTCTTCGCGCCCGCGCCCGCGCTGCTCGCCGAGCAGCTCGCGAGCGCGAGCCCGTCCTTCGGGTGCGTCGACGCCCGCGGCTACTGCTGCCTCGGCGTCGGGGGCCTCGCCTGCCTCTGGGAGCTGCGCGCCGACGGGGGCGGCCACCGCACCTACGACGTGGGCGGCGTCGGCGGCGTCGACGCCGTCGGCGTCGTCGGCGGGTCCGGCGGCGCGCCGGCGCTCGCGGCGGCGTCGCTCGCGACGGGCCGCGTCGCCGTGCACGCGCTGACGGGCGCGCCGTCGGGCGCGGGGCCGGCATTGGGCGCCGTGCCCGTCGCCGGCCGCGAGGCCGTGACCTGCTTCGAGTTCGGCGCCGCGGCCGTACTCGCGGGCACGTCGACGGGCCGCGTCTTCTGGTTCGACGCCGCGGCCGCGAGCTGGCGGCGCCTCGGCGGCGACGCGCTCGCCGACGCCGTCGAGGAGGTCGCGGCTTCCGCGGCGTCCGGGCCCGAGCGGGGCCTCGTGCGCCGGTCGCTCGGCGCGCTCGGCGCGCTGGGGTCGCTCTCCGCGCGCAAGGTCGGCTTGGTCGCGTCGCCCGACGAGGCGCGGGCCGCCTCCGTCGCCGACGACGACGCGGACCGGGGCGTGGGCGCCATGTGCGTGCGCGCCCTCGACGACGGCTCCGAGGAGCTCGTGGTCTTGCGAGGCGACGGCGTCGTCGTCCGCTGGGCCGTCGGCGACGATCTGGCGAACGCGCGCGTCGCCGCGATCCACGAGGCGCGCGCGGACGCGGCCGGGGGCCTCGGCGCGCTCTTCGGCACGCCCGGCGCCGGCGGGGCGTCGGCGACCTGGGCGCCCTGCGGCGCCGCGGCCGCGCCCCGCGGTTTACCGTTGCTCGCGGCCGTCGAGCGGCGCCGCGGCACGTACCGCGTCGTCGCGCTGGAGTGGGCGTCCGTGTCCGGCGCCGCGGAGCCGGCGGCGGGCGACCCGCGGCGCGTCGCCCGCGCCGCGCGGCGCTGCGCCCTGGACTCGACGCTCGTCGGCGAGCTGCCCGTCGGCTCCGGCGAGCCGGCGGTGACGCTCGACGTCGACCTCGACGGCGCGGACGTCCACGGCTGGGTCGCGTGGCCCGCGAACCTGCGCGCGGCGCCGCTGCGCATCGTCGCGCGGCCGTCGCGCGCCGCCCTGGGCGACGTCGTCGCCGGCGCGGCGCTGGGCGCCGTCCGGAAGCTCGACGACGCGTCGCAGGAGCTCGCGGCGGCCGGCGCGGCCGTCGCCGTCGCCGCGCCGCCCCACGCGGCGCCGTCGGCCTTCCTCCGCGGGAAGCGGGCCCTGCTCCAGAGCCGGGGGCTCGTGGTCTTGGCGGCGTCGGGCGACTGCCACGCGTGCCTCGGCCCGCGCGTGGCGGTGGACCACGACCGGCCGCAGCAATCGACGGCGCGCCGCGGCGACGCCGTGGACTGGGCCGCGCTCGTGGGCGACCTGCGGAGCGCCCTCGGCGACGAGGAGCGGTCCGCCGACGCCCTCGAGGCGCTGGGCGCCGCCGCGCGCGACGCGCCGCCCCCCCAAGCCGGCCTCTGCGCCGCGGCCGTCGACGCGTCCGCGTCCGTCCTCGCGGAGGCGCCGGCCTGCGGCTTCCACGACGACGACGACGGCGACGACGTCGCGTCGACGCTCGTGCTGCGCCACGTGGAGCAGCGCAAGGCGACGCACGCGAAGCTGATCCTCGCGCTCGCGGACGCGGGCAAGTGTTTAGACGCCGCGGCCGTCGACGCCTTGGCCGACGGCGCGGCCTTCGCCGAGGCCGCCGTCGCCGCCGCGCGGCTCCACGCGCGCATGCTCCAGACGCCGGACATGGCCGCGGCCGGCGACCTCGTGTCCAAGGCCTGCGGCGACGCCGTCGCGCGCCGCGGCGACGACGCCGCGCGGCGCCGCGCGGGCCTGAGCGTGCTCGACGCCTTCTACGGCGCCGCGCCCGCCGAGTCCCTCGCGGGCCTCATCGGCGCGCTGGGCGCCGCGCGGACGCTCGAGGACGGCGCGGCCAAGGCCCGCGTCGCCGTGCACGCGGCGACGGCCGCGCGCGCGGCCGTCGCCGCCGGCGCGGCCGCGTACGGCGACGCGCTCGCGGCGCTCGGCGGCGGCGGCGCGCGCGACGCCGTCTGGCGCGGCGGCGGCCCGGCCTGCCGCGCGGCGCTCGGCGGGCTGCGCGACCTCGCGTTCGACCCGAGCGGCGGGCTCGCGGCCGCGCGCGACGCGCGGGCCGTCGCCCTCGAGCTCGCCGAGCTCCTCGTCGGCGGCACCGCGGGCGCCGAGGGCGACGGCGCGCTGGTCGTGACCAGCGTCCTGTGTTTGAGAGATTCGAGAGATTTCGGGTGGGAACGTCCAGCATCCGTGACGATTTTTGAGAGATTCGAGAAATTTCGAGTGGGAACACGATGAAAATCGTTACCGACGTTCTACGTAGGTCGTGACCGCGCTCTGTGCGGCCGCGGACGCGACGACGCGCGACCGCGTGGCCAAGCAGCCGCACATGTCCAAGGCGCAGGTGGCGAACGTTTGGGTCGCCGACGCGTCGCCGGCGCTGGCGGCGGCCGAGGCCACGGGCGAGTCGGCGCTCGTCGTGGACGTGTGTCTGCGTGCGGACGACGTCGCTCACCTCGGGGCGGAGGCGGTCGAGTCGCGGTCCGCGATCGACGTCTTCCTTCGGGATCCTTTGCCCGGCGTCGCGTCCAAGGAGAATCTGCCGGCGAAGGGGGATGTTGGTGGTCACTTCCTCGGTGGCGAACAGCGTCCTCTGGGCGTGACGAGTTTCGAGAGCTTTTGACCGGGAAGACGAAGAAAGATCGTTACCGACGCACTTTTAGGCGGCCGCGACGCTGCGACGCACGACGGCGGCTTTCAGACGAGCTTCATGGCCGGACGGGCCCGTTTGGCCAAGGCAATGGCGGGCGATGCGGTCTTCGCGGACGTCGCAATCAGGCGGTTGATGAATCGCAGCCTGTTCGTCTTCCGCGTCCGCGCCTTTTTTTCGCGCGCGACCCGCCGCCGACACAGGTTCGCGGACGTCGCGGAGCTCGGGCGCCTCTGTCCGGGGCCGTATTCTGCCATCCTCGCGGAGTTCAAGACGAAGACGGGGCAGCCGCACGCGCTCGAGTGGATCAAGCTCGTCGAGGACGAGGACTTCTCCGCCGCGTCCGACTCGCTCCAGGCGCTCACCGTGGGCTCCGACAATGCGCCGTCGAACAAGACGCTCGTCTTCCGCGTCCGCGCCTTTTTTCGCGCGTGACCCGCCGCCGACACAGGTTGAATTCGATCGCGCGGGTCTGCCTGCACCTCGCGGAGCCGCCGGACGCGCCGAAGACCCAGTCTCTGATCGCGGTTCTCCTGAAGAACAAGCAGGCGGTCTACGTCGCGCACCAGAGCGGCCTGGACATCACGAAGCACTACGACGACGTCACGGGTCTGGCGCTCAAGGCGCTCGCGGAGGGCTTGGGCGACGCCGACGAGCTGCTCGACGCGTTCTTCACGGCGCTCCACCTCGACGCGCCCGAGGAAGAGGTGCGAAAGGCGTTGGCGGCGCGGGCGTGGGCGTACGCGTTCGCGTGCGAAGGCGACGAGGCCGTGTGGCGGAGCGCGCTCGACGGCGCGGCGATCGCGCTGCCCGACGCGTGCAAGGCGACGTACTACTACCGCTGCGCGTCTCGCCCAGGGTCCTATTGCCGTGACGATTTTCGAGAGATTTGGGGTGGGAAAACAACGAGGAATCGTCACCGTCATGCTTGGTAGGTCCCGCCAGGCCTGGTCGAAGCTCAACGGCATCAACACGCGCGACTGCTGGGTCGACGAGGCGGCGCTCGCGGCCGCGCTCGCCGAGACCAGCGTCGAGCGACAGGAGTGTTTTTTCGCGTGAATTTCGCCTGAAGGTGTGAAGAAATCCGACCCCGTCGCACTTGGTAGGCCGAGACGCGGCCCGCGCCGCTCGCGTCGCTGCCGGACGCGAAGCGCCTCGCGACGTTCCTCGTCAACGCCGCCAAGGTCGCCGCGGACATGCAGCGGCCGCGCTACGACGACCTCCTCCGCCGCAAGGCCATCGTGCACCCGGCCTACGTCGTCCCGCCCTACGCGCCGCACTACGTCCCGCCGCCGCCCACGACGCCGCCGCCCCTCTTCGAGACGGGCCTGAAGCCTGAGGTTTAAGAAGTCGAAGCGGCCCTCTCTCTTTTCCGAGGTTTAGGAAGTCGAAGCGGCTTTCTCTTCTGCCGACGCACATCCTCCATCTCGGACTTAATCTCATCCCTCGGGGAAACTTGAACATCAAATTGAAGTTGCAACAGTGATTCTCGATGAGCTGCGTCCTGCTGTAGCGCACCGGTGCTCCGCTCGTCGACCTTGCCAATGCCGATGCTTGCGCTCGCTCGCTCATCGGGTCGCGTCGCGCGCGCGCCGATGCTCGCGCGCGGCCACTCGTCGACGCTCGCGCGCTCTCGAGGGGCATCGATGCTGCTGAGCCGCTCATCGACGACGCAACCGATGCTCGCGCGCGGCCGCTCGTCGCGGCGCGTCGCATTGGTGCGACCGCTGGCGAGCGGCCCCACGGTCGCCGACGGCGTGCTGAAATCCGTGCCCGTCGCTTTGACGACGCTCGACTACGTGGGCACCGTCGCGTTCGCCGCGTCGGGCACGATGGTCGCGGGCCAGGCGGGCATGGACGTGCTGGGCTGTTGTTTCGTCGGTACGGTGACGTCCCTCGGCGGCGGGACGATCCGCGACCTGCTGCTGGGCCGGACGCCCGTGTTCTGGTTCAAGGACACGAGCTACCTGCTGTTGTGCCTCGGCACGGCACTCGCGACGTTCTTCGCGCGCGACTCGCTCGAGGAGGCGGGCTTGCTCGACGACGAGGTCTTGTGGTGGGGCGACACGCTCGGCATCGGCGCGTTCAGCGTCGTCGGCGCGCAGGCCGCCGCGGGCGTCGGCATGCATCCCGTCGTGACGGCGCTGTGCGGCATGTTCACGGCGACGTGCGGCGGTTTGGTGCGCGATGTGCTCTGCCGGCGCCAGCCGCGGCTGCTGTACAGCCCGAAAGCCGAGGCGCCGGCGGCGGCCGGCACGCTCTACGCGCCCGCGGCGCTCGCCGGCGCGTCGCTCTTCACGCTGCTGAGCCGCGTCGGCGCGCCGGCGCCCGCGGCGGTCGCGCTTGGCGGCGCCTGCACGGTCGCGGTGCGTCTGTATGGCAGCGTCTTCAACGTCAAATTGCCGACGTACGTGCTCGCGGACGACGCGCCGGCGCCGCGCCTCGACCCCGTTGACGCTCATCTGTTCGTCACGGCGTATGCGCCGGACCGCATCGGCCACGTCGCCGCGCTCACCAAATGCCTCGCCGACGCGCGCGCGAACATCTCGGCCTCGAAGATCCTGACCATCGGCGACGACCTCGCCTTCATGATGGTCGTTTCGGCTCCGCATGCCGCGCGCGGCGACCTCGCGGAGCGGGTCAAGGCGGCCGGCCGGGAGAAGGGCATGGTCGTGCAGACGCATGACATAACGCCGTCCCAGGCCGCGCGCGCCGCGTCGAAGCAGAGCGCGCCGCAGTTCACGGCTCGCGTTTCCTTGATCGGCCCGGATTCGCCAGGACTGGTGCACAACCTTACGGCGCTCCTCCGCGACCACGGCTTGAACATCACGGCGCTCGACAGTCGCGTTTTCGAGAGATCACGCCTGGGCCGCCGCGACACGCCCGCGGACGAGACCGCCCGCAGCCTCGCGCACCGAAAAGCGACGGACATCTTCGACCTCGCCGCCGTCGTCACGGCTGACACGCGGCCGAAGCCCACCCTCCACGCCGACGCCGCGCGCCTCAAGGAGACGTTCCACCTCGACGTCCTCGACATCCGCTTCGAGGACGACACGGCGGTCGCCGAGGAGGGAGGGAAGCGGCGCGCGGCGAAGCGATAAGGTAAAAGCGCGACTTTCGCGCGACTTGCGGCGCGGTCGACGCGCTCGTGACACGGGGACGCCTAAGTGCGCGGCAAGTGCAACCAAGATGCGCACCCCTTCACCTTGAAGAGGAGGCTCTAACGAGCCGCTTCGGGTTCTGAGCACCCTGCGCTCGGCTCGTGCAACCCGTTAGTCCGTTAGGGCGTTATTGGCCTCGGACGGTCGCCCGCTAACGGGCGTTAGGTCGTTATTGGCTTTTTAAGGATCGGGTGGCTGGGTGTTATGGGTGTTATCGAGAATTTTCGCCAGGGTGTTATTGATTTTGAAAAATCGAGTGGCTGCCATCGGCAGGGTGTTATTAGTGTTATTTGATTGGCTAGCTAGGGTGTTATCGCGTTATTGCTAACTAGCTGTAACGGGTTGCACGAGTCGACTGCGCCCGCCGCTGCCAACTGCACCATGCTCGCCGCCAAGACCCTCGTCCGCCACGCTCGCGTGCTCAGCGCGCAGCGCGTCGCGCCCATGAGCTCGCTCGTCCTCTCGATCGTCGGCCCGGACCGCACCGGTCTCGTGTCCGAGGTGACGCAGATCGTCGCCGGCCGCGGCGGCAACGTCACGGAGAGCCACTCGTTCAACATCGGGCCCGTGTACTCGATGGCGATGATGGTCGACGTCGGCGCGGACCAGCACTCGGAGCTCGTCGCGGCCGTCACGGCCGCGGTCCCGTCGTACGCCGTCTCCGCGCACGACGGCTCCGCGGACGTCGAGGCCGCCTCGTCGTTCGCCGCCGCCGTCGAGGTGTCCTGCGCCGACGGCGTCGGCCTCATCGCCAAGGTCACGGAGTTCATCGCCGAGTCGGGCCTCTCCCTGTCCAAGCTCTCGACGAAGTCCGAGGGCGCGCCCCACGGCGGCGCGCAGCTCTTCTCCCTCAAGGGCGTCATGCTCTCGTCGGGCCCCGTCGACGAGGACAAGCTCGCCCAGGGCTTCCGGGACCTCGAGAACGAGATGGGCCTCGCCATCGAATACTGCAAATACGACGACGACGTCAAGATCGCCGCGTGAACCGCGGCAAGAACCGGGCGCTACCGCCGAGAACGTAAGAGACGCGACTCTGAAGACTCCCTTACGCCGCCTACGGCCCCACGCGCGAGTACTTCCTCGGCGGCGGCTCCGGGCCGTGGTAGACCTCGGGCTGCCAGCGGTCGTTCTCGCGCACGGCGACCGGGTCCGGCGCGCGGCGCGGCGGCGCGTCGAGGCGCGCTTTGAGCTTCGCGGCGTGGTCGTCGTAGATCGCGCGGCGGCGCTCCGGCGCGACGGCGTCGAAGGCGCTGTGGCGCGCGAGGTCGCGCTCGAGGTCCTCGAAGGGGTCCGCGAGGTGCTCGCGCCGGTAGACGTAGTCCCGCAACAGGTCGCGGAAGCGGTCCTCGCGCCGCAGGCGGCGCCGCTCGTCCTCGGCGCCGTCGGACCGCGCGCGATCCCTCAGGTCCTCGAAGACCACCGCGACGTTCGGCCGCCGCAGCCGCAGCGCGGCGTCGAGCGTCCACTCGTCCTCGGACCGCGACCGCGCGCGGCGGTCGTCGCGGTCGCGGTCGCGGTCGCCGCCGCCGCGCGCCTCGGCGTCGCGGAGGTGCGCGAGCCAGCCCTCGAGCGTCGCGGCCTCGGCGAAGTCGAAGCCCGCGGACAGCGCGCGCAATCGCCGCTTGTCCGCGCGGCTCTCGCGGTCGAAGGCGTTCCGCGCGTCGTCGTAGACCGCCCCGAGCACCTCCGGCAAGCCCAGGCGGCTCGCGGCGTCGGCCATGGCCTTGCGCACGCCCGCGACGACCTCGCGGCGGCTCCGGGGCTTGGCCGCGCCCTCGTCGACCTCGCCCTCGTCGCGCTCCGCGGCCGCGCCGAGCTGGCCGCCGACCATGGCCTGGACGGCCATGAGGCCGCCCTCGGCGAACTGGGCCAGCGTCTCGTCGAGGTCGCGGAAGGGCGTCGACGGCGGCAGGAGCCCCGCGCGCATCGCGTCGAGCGCCTGTGTGGAAATCAAATCTCCAACCCGACTTCAATGTGCGCGTATTCGAATGTTTCGACACAAGCTCTTCGGCTGTGCTTCGAGAACTCGACGAGAGCAATCGACTCGTTCCAAATATCAGCCGAATCGACTTCGATTTGACCGAGCTAGAGAATTTCAAAGTTTGGTCGGGACGTCCCAAACCAGTGGTTGATTTCCACACAGCCAAGCGCCGCGTCGAAGAACGCGTCGCGGAGAGCGTCGTCGCGGCGCCGCACGCTCTCGCGGCAGTCCGCCACGAAGGCCGCGTACTCGCGCCGCCGGTCCTCCATGGCGCCCAGCGCCTCGAAGCGCGCGTCGTCCCGCAAAGCCTCCGCGACCTCGGCGAAGGGGGTCCTACCGAAGACGGACACGAGCAGCGCCGCGCCGTCGTCCTCGTGGCTCGCCGCGGGGTGGCGCTTCGCGTGGTCCGCCAGGCACGCCCGGAAGCCGTCCAACGCGTCGCGCCGCCGCGCCTCGGCCTCCGCTCTTTCCTTCTTCGCGAGCTCGCCGACGAAATCCGCGAAGAGCTCGGCCCGCTCGCGCGAGTTGCCGACGGCCGTGTAGCGCTCGTCGCAGGTCGCCGCGAGGATCTCGTCGGCCTCGGCCCAGCGCAGGCGCGCCGTGATCTCCGGCGTCTCCGCCAGCAGCCGCAGGAAGCCGGACCGCGCCTCGCGGCCGCGCTTCCGGGACGCCTCGCGCTCCCACTTCGCGCGCTGCGTCTGGTACTCCGCGAAGGCCTGCTTCCGCTCGCCGGGGCTCCTCAGCCGGAGGAACGCGGCGTCGTCGCCGTGGAGGTTGGCCATCTCGCCGTACTTGGTCTTGGACGCGACGCCCTTGCTGGCGAGCATGTCCTTGAAGGCCCTCGCGGCGGCCTTGGCGTCGTAGGGGCCCTCGGGCGCCGCGGGCCGCGGCGGCGACGCCGGCCGCGCCGCCGGCGGCGCTTCGACGTCCATGGCGACCTCCGGCGCCGGCGCCGGCGCCGCCGGCGCGGCCGCCGCCGCGGCGGGCGCCGCGGCGGCCGCGGCCCGCTCCGCGGCGGCCGACGCCGCGTTCGCCGCGATCGCCGCCATGGCCTTCTCGCGCGCCTCCTTGTAGGCCGGCGGCTCCTCCCAGACGGACTGGATGCCGTCGCTCCAGTACTTCTTGCCCTCCGGCGTCGCGTACTCGCGCCAGGCGCCCGGCTGCGTCGACGGCGCCGCGGGCACCTGGGGCACGGCCATGAAGCCGTAGGCGCCGTAGCCGGCAGCGGGCGCGCCGCCGGGGTACTGCGGCCACATCGTTCGGCGCGCACACGCGTGCGGTCGAGAGCCGCGGCGGTCGTCACTCAGCCCCGCGAGCCAAGGCCCATATGCGTGCAGAGGTCGATCGGCGACCGAGCGGACGGCGCGATGGCCGAGGCCTCGTCCGCGGACGATGTCGAGACTGCGTCGGACCTCGTCGGCGCGCGACAGCGTACACGACGCGCTGCGCGGCCGCGACGGCGTCGCCCCCCGACGGCGTCAAACGACGACGAAGGAACGACCGTTATCGCCCCAGCAGGTCCCCCCTTTGGTGGAGCGCGAGGAGGCCCGGCCCCGCGGGCGCGCCGTCGGTGAAGCCGCCCACGGGCGCGCCGCGCACGTAGACCGCGGGCATGGACGTGCGGCCGCTGTCCGCCGCCACGGCCGCGCGCAGCGCCTTCCCCCGCGGGCCCAGCGGCTCGAGGTCGACGACGGCGTACTCGCCGTCGTAGTGCGTTTCCAGCAGCCGCTTCGCCTCGACGCACCAGGGGCAGTCGACGAAGGAGAAGACGACGATGGGCTTCGTCGACGCCTGCGCCTCGAGGTCCGCGCGCGCGGCCGCGGCGTCGTACGCCTCGCCCGCGGCCTCGGTGATCTTCTCGATCTTCCACTCTCTCAGGTAGAGCCCCTCCTCCCGGATGATGCGCGACACGAGGCGGCCGAGGTAGCTCCGCGCGAAGGCCGTCTTCTGCGCGTCCGTCGCGTCCGCGAACGGCGTGCCCTTGAGCAGGTGCGTCACGCCGGACGCCTCGACGTGATTTCGGTGCTGCGTTTCCACGAATTCCGAGGTCTGGAACCAGTCCAGGAGCCGCCGGATGACCCAGCGCTCGAGCGGCGACGACTCGTTGTCGCCCGCGTCGGCGATGCGCGCGAGCTCGTCGCTCGCCGCGCCGACGATCGCCGACGTGAGCGCGGTCGTCCAGGTGCGCGCGAGGTCGCCCGTCGGCGCGTAGTCCACGGTCCACACCATGGTCGTGCGCCCGTCGGCGGCGTCGTCGAAGCGCACGGACCCGGCGTGGCTCGAGACAGGATAAAGCGAAAGCCAGCCAGGGTTGACGACGCGGTACGCGACCTCGCGCTCGCTTTCGCCCTCGAGCGCTTCGAGCAGGCCCGGCGGCACGACGAGCCGCCGGCCGCCGCCCAGATCGATGGGCGGCGGCAAAGGGAGGCCGTAGCGCCCGCGGCGCCAGGTGTGCTCGAGCCAGAGCTCCTTGGCGGCGCTCGGCCGCACGTTGAGCACGCGCGTCGTCGCGTAGTGTTCCAGCGAGGTTGCGCGCGGCAGCGTGGCGGCTAGCATGGCTGCGAGGAGCGGAATTACTCGCGGAGGGAGCCGCATCGCGCCGCGCTCAGCTATGTTTGCCTGCAACTTCAGTGCAAACTGGCTAATTTGCCACAAGATTTTGCACCGGCACACAGCACCTCTGAGCCATCGCAGACGTAGCCATGACCTCCCTCTACGAGCAGGAAGTCGAAGAGCTCGGCGGCGGCTTCCAGGTCTACCCGCGCACGTCGACGCCGCACCTGGACTGCATCTCCTCGAAGCCGCTCGACGGCGCCGCCGCGCTCGCCGCCGCCTGCGAGGTGTGCGGCGCCGAGGGCGAGAACTGGATCTGCCTCGCGACGCACAAGTGCCTCTGCAGCCGCTACGTCGCCGGCCACGCGAAGGAGCACGCGGAGGCCAGCGGCGCGAAGATCGCCGTGTCGCTCGCCGACCTCTCGTTCTGGGACTTCGGCCAGGACGCGTACCTCGACGTCTTCGCCATCGAGGCGCTCCACGCGCCCTACACGGCGCTCCACGTGGCCAAGTTCGGCGAGGCGCCGACGCTGCCGTCGCGCGACCGGCCGCGCGAGCCCTGCGGCGTCACGCTGACGCTCGAGCTCGGGCCCGCCGCGGAGTCGAAGGAGCCTCGGTGACTAACATGTGGCGACGGTAGGGGCGGTCGGCGGTCGGCGGTCGGCGGCGGTCGGCGGTCGGCGGCGGTCGGCGGTCGGCGGCGGTCGGCGGTCGGCGGTGGCGGCGGTCGGCGGTGGCGGCGGTCGGCGGTGGCGGCGGTCGGCGGCGGTCGGCGGTGGCGGCGGTACTCACCTACATGGCGACGTGGACGTAGGCCGTGATGAGCAAAAAGGCCGTCACGTTGAGCGTCGCGAGCGTCGCGACGGTGCGCTTGATGCCGTAGTGGTACTCCGCGGCGAAGTAGAAGCCGATGTTCGTGCAGGGCGACAGCGCGCTGAGCGCGAACGCGTGGCGCACCGTCGGCGGCGCGCCGGCCCGGACCATGGCCCAGGAGTTCACGAGCACGAGCGCGACCTGGACGAGCGACCTCGTCGCGACGACCGCGGACACGTCGCGGACCTCGCGCGCGAGCGCGCCCGGGCTCGGCGCGGAGAGCCCGATGAGCACGAACATGACCGGCGCGAAGGCGCTCCCGAGCGCGAGCGACGCGTCGGCGAAGGCGCCGCGGCAGGGCACGGCCGCGTTGAAGACGAGGCCCAGGAAGAAGGCGTGGACGATGATGTTTCTCAGCAGGAGCTTCGAGCCGAGCGTCCGCGGCCCGCACGTCGGCTCCGGCGCCGCGTCGGCGTCGAAGGCCCTCTTGAGGTCGTCGCGCGGCAGGTCCAGGCTCAGGAGCGACCGGCCCCTGGCCAGGTCGACGTTGACGACGGAGTGGCCGTTGGTCATCAACGCGAGGTTGTTCTGGTCGAGCGCGTGCCGCGCCATCATGAGCTCGCCGCGGCTGTCGCCGCTCCAGCTCAGGCTCCGCGGCCGCCGGGGCGCGCACTCCTCGCTCTCGCCCGCCATGATGTTCACCTCCGTCATCTCCAGCGGGTTCTCGACGGGCTCGGCCGTCTCCGCGACGCGGTAGCCCTCGTCGTCGAACGCCTCGCGGTCCAGCGGCCGGTAGCGGTGCGCGATCCAGCCGTTGATGACCTGGCACATCCACAGGTTGCCGCCCATGTCGTAGGCGAGCGCCGCGGGGATCGCCTGCGCGTCGTCGGAGCCGCCGAGCAGGCTGTACGCGAAGCCGAGAGCGACGCCGTTCGACATGAGCAGCGACCAGCCCAGGTCCCGCCCTCGGAGGCCGTGGCCGTAGGCGGCGTAGGCGGCGTAGGTCCTCGCCGTCCAGAGCGCGTGGAACCCGATGGCCCAGAAGAACCAGAGCACGAGGCTCGGCTCGAGCGCCGACGCCCACGTCGACCGGAAGAGGAGGAACGGCAGCAGCAGCGAGAAGGTGAAGACGCGCACGCCCTCGAGGCCGCCCTCGACGCGGTGCACCCAGCCGCGCCACTTGATGAACGGGCCCGCGCCCTGGAACACGAGGCTCATGAGCAGCAGGCCCTTCATGGACCGCGCCATCGCGCCGCCGAGTCAGGGCAGCCTCTCTTCAATGTTTCCTTCAATGTCCCCTTCAACATGGTGTGCCCCTGCGACGGTGCGACCTACTGCGGTCCGGGATGTCCGCCGCGGCGGCGGCGCGGCTACGGCCTGCGCGGCGACTCCTCGCGCCGGCGCCGAAAGTCGCAACGACGCGCCCTATCTCCGTTACGCGGCGCGACGCGCGCCGGCGACGAACTAGTGGTGACCGTGGTCGTCCTTCTTCAGGACCAGTTTGTCGACGGCCAGGTACGCGAGGAAAATGCCGACGGCGGGGGCCTAGGGCGCGCGCGGTCGTCGACGCGCCGCGAAGCGAAACGGGTCCGCGCGGTCGGCCGCCGCGCGCGCGGTCCCCCGCCCCCGCCGCCCGACCGGCCGCGCGCGCGCGCGCGCATTCAATAGGGGCGCCGGGCGCGCACGAGTCCCGGCCACGGGCCCAGGCCCTTCCAGCAGCCCCTGCGCGCGGAGGACGACGCGATCGCGGGCGCGCGGACGCGGCGCGGCGCGGCGGCGCCCCCGCTGTGACGGACGCCGCTCGAATACGCGAGCATCGGGAATCGTCTCCAGGCGTCGCGGTTGGCGAAGTTCTTGGCGAACGACATGGTGGTCGCGCGGGCCTCGTCGATGAGGAGCTTGCCTCACGACGCAGTGGCGACCGGGGGTCGGGTGCTTGCGCGCGATCGGCGCGAGCGCGAGACCGATGGTCTCTTAGACCGTCTCTACGCGCGCCCAGAACGACCGCATCATCGCGCTTTCGGAGATTCTCAGCCGACGCTCGCCCGTCGCGGCCTCGCGCGAGCACTCGCGTCTGGCACACGGCGAGCACGCGGCTTGAGCTACTGCGGGCCCGTAGCTGTGCGTAGCGAGAGGGCCGTACAGCACAAACCCAGCAAAGGCGCCCAGGCCAGCACCAGGCCGGCGCGGTCGGCGTTGCCTTCATCATATTTCGGAGGAGTGCAATGGTCGGCAGGCGCCTAGTTCTTTCATAGATGAAACGCTGTATCCGGCCGCAGAAGCACCTCTGGGCTGCGTTTCAGCTGGAACCACTGAAGGCAGCCCGCCGTGCTGCCGGCCGGCTGCGTGCCGCCGCGCGACCTCCGGCGGCGTCGCCGGTGCTCCCGCGGGCCCCTGTTCCGGGCCCGGCCCTTCGCGCGCCGCACCTCGCGCGGCGACGGCCGTCGCTGCCGCGTATCGCCGCGAAGGGTGCCGCGGAAAACGATCCCTGTGTGAGTGCCGCGCCCATTAGACGGCGACGATGGGGGGCGGCTCGAGCACGATCCAGGACCCGGAGATGCAGGAGAAACTCAAGCACCAGGCCGAGGAGAAGATGAAGGTCGGCCACCTCACGCGCGAGGACTTTGCGTACCTGGCGAACCCGCAGCCCATGGTCTGGAGCGACATCCTCTTCAAGGTCCTGAAGGAAAATCCCGACTCCGAGGACATCAAGACGGAGGACGGCCGCACCTGGCTCGAGGCGGCGCTCAACCAAAAGTACAGCGACGCGGCCTGGCACGACAAGATGTCCGACCCGGAGACGGACGAGCTGCCCGAGCGCATGACGCAGGACGAGTTCCAGGCGCTGGCCGTCGCCGGCTGCAGCGGCGGCGGCGGCGGCGGCGGCAAGGGCGGCGACGGGGCGACCGCGGCGCAGCAGTCCCTGCGACGGCGCATCTCCGTCAAGTGCGCGAAGCCGGGCAACGCGGGCATCACGGTGAAGCAGCTCGTCGAGGAGGAGAACGCCGAGGGCGAGATGGAGGTCAACGACGAGGACGTCGAGGACGCCCTGGCCTACGTCAACGGCACGAACGGCCGGTCGCGGCCGTCGATGGTCAAGAAGCCCATGTCGAAGGAGACCGTCGCCAAGGTCCACGTCGAGCTCCTCAAGACGATGGAGTTCAAGGAGGCCTTCAAGCTCTACGACTCGGACAACGACGGCAAGGCCGACGCCCACGACGTCTACCGCGTCATGGTCGGCCAGGGCGAGGACGTGACCTTCGAGCAGGCGCAGGCGCTCATGGCCACGATCGTCGAGCCGGGCCAGACCCACTTCGACTTCCGCGGGTTCTGCCGCATGATGCGCGAGGAGGGCGCCGAGGACGACGCCGAGTCCAAGGCCAACTCCGAGGCCGCGGACGCGCCCGCGTCCGCGCCCGAGCAATGATCCCTCCCCGCCGCGCCCGGCGCCCCGTTCTTCTCCGATCTCCCGACGCACGGAACAGCCCCGCCGCCGACGCCGCGACATCGCCCCGCCAGCTCCCCTCTCTTCTTCCTCTCCGCGGCGCGGACGTCCGCAACTCCCGCGGCGCCGTCGCCGCATCGCACTCCGACTGCTCTTATTACGTGTATATCACGCGTTGGGGGTGTGCGGCCGTCGCCATGCCGTCGGCCGGCGCACGCGACTCGGAGATCTCCGGAGGCCTGCGGCGCGGGCGCGCGGCTTCGCGCGGCTGAGGCCTCGGCTGGAGGCATGATCCGCGGCTCGCCTGTGCCGCTGTGGCATCCAGCGCAATGGTGGTCCGCAGCCGCAGCGCGATCCCAGGCGCAATGGTGGTCCGCGGCCGCGCGCGCGTTGCCAGGCGGATCGCCTGGTGCGCGCTCGGCGCCGGCGCCACGATCGCGGCGGCGCTGCGACACGCAAACGACGGCCGCCGCCGCCTGCTCGAGTACGACTTCTCGGAGCGCAACCTCCACGTGCTCACGTCCATCGCCATCGCCGAGTCGTCGCTGTCCTTCCTCGGCGGCCTCTTCGTCGTCTTCAGCTTCGGATTCTTCCCGACGCTGCGGTCCAAGTTCGCCTTCGAGCAGGTCGCGATGATGGCGCTCGCGGACATGGGAGCGGCGCTCACGTACTGGTTCGGCAGCCCGCGCGACCGGAGCGGCCTCTGCACGTCGCAGGCCGTGCTCCAGCAGTTCTTCGAGCTGTCGTCCGTGCTCTGGGCGACGGTCATCTCGACGACGCTCCACCTCGCGATGCGGCGCGTCGAGATCGACGAACGACGGCGGCGCCGCGCCGCGTACGCGTTCACCTGGGGCGCGTCGGCTGTGTTCGCGCTCCTACCGTTATCGACGTCGTCCTACGGCGCGTCGGGCGCCTGGTGCTGGATCCGGCCGAGGCCGCGGCTGCCGTCCGCGGCCTGGCGCTTCTCCATCTTCTACGTGCCCGTCTGGATCGCGATCGCCTACAACGGCGCGGTCTACGCGAACTGCGCGTGGGTCCTCGAGCGGCTCCGGTCCGTCGCCGACGACGCCGCGGGCGAGAAGCTCCGGGGCACGATCCATCGCTTGGCGCGCTACCCGCTGATCTTGGTGGCCTGCTGGAGCTGCGCGACGATCAATCGCTTGCAGCAGATCTTCGCGCCGGACCGGCCCGTCTTCGGCCTCTACGTCGCGACGGTGGTCACGCGGTCCATGCTCGGCTTCCTCAACGCGCTGGCCTTTGGGGCCACGGCGAACGTGCGCCACGAGTGGCGCGCGTTCCTCGCGGCGAGGCACGTCGCGTTCTGCGCCGACGACGGCGGCGACGCGGGCGCGCTCATCCACGAGGCCACCGCGGACCCGCCGTCGCCGACGCAGAACCCCGTGCGCAAGTCCGAAAACCGCGCGTCGTCCATCGAGATGTCCAACTCCGCGACGTCGGAGCGCGCGAACCTCGAGGACGTCGACCTCGGCGACGACGACGACGCCGCGGGGCTCAACGCGTGATTTTTGTGGTATGCTCCTAGAGGCTTAGTGTCAGCGGTCGGCTGTCGCGGCCTTTCGGGCTCCGGCGATTCCGGCTCCCGCGCCGATCCTCCCGGCTCCGGCTTCGGCGGCGGCTCCAGCTCCGGCTGCCGCGGCTGCCGCGGCTTTCGCGGTCGCCGCGACTGCGACTCCGGTGGCCGCCAGAGCGGCCGCGACTCCGGCTCCGGCTCCGGCGCCGGCGGCGGTCGCCGTAGCTGCCGCGGTCTCCGCGGCTCCGGCTCCGGCCGCGGCCGCGGCTCCGGCTCCGGCGGTCTCCCCGGCTCCGGCTCCGGCTCCGGCGGTCTCCCCGGCTCCGGCTCCGGTAGCGCCGATCGCGGGCCGCCTCGCGGCTGCGGCTCCGGTAGCGCCGGTCGCGAGCCGCCTCGCGGCTGCGGCTCCGGTAGCGCCGGTCGCGGGCCGCCTCGCGGCTCCGGCTCCGGTAGCGCCGGTCGTCGCGGGCCGCCTCGCGCGCGGCGCGCTCGACGAGCCGGTTGTACGCGAACTCGTAGACCTGGTCGCAGACGCTGCTCTCCGTGGCCGCGAGCTCGTGGAGCGGGATGCGCTCGAGGAGCGGCGTGCGCATCTCCGGGCTGTCGTACATCTCCTTGAGGACGACCTCGGCCTCCGCGTGGAGCGCTTCGACGCGCTCGGCGTCGGCGTCCATGAAGCTCTGGAACTCCGACCTCGTGATGACGTACGAGTCGCCGCCGCGCTGCTGCTGCGCGGCGTAGGACGGCGAGACGTGCTTGCCGCCGACGACGAACTCGGCGCCCGCGAGGAAGTCGTCGACGAGCCGCGAGGCCGAGGCGACGGCGTCGAACTCCACGAAGCCGTAGGCGCCGGAGTAGCGCGTCCCCGCGTCGGGCTCGCGGACGACGACCTTGAGCACGCGCCCGTACTTCTCGCAGTACTCGCGGACCGCGAGCTGCGTCGCGCTCGCGCTCCTCGACGGCGGCAGGTTCCGGAGGCGGAGCTTCCGGTTCGGCGGCTGCTGCGAGATGTCGATCATCTCGATCGTCGCCGGCTGGCCGCCGCCGACCGTCGTGCCCTGGAGGTTGCGGAGCGTGCGCAGGCCCGACTCGCGGTCCGCGAGGTAGATGAACGCCGTCGTCGACGTCGGCCGCCGGTAGAGGTCCGCGGACTCGACCGTGCCCGCGGCGCTCGCGGCGCCCCAGACGAGGTCCTCCGTGATGGCCGGGTGCAGGTTCCGCAGGCACAGGTGCATCGCGAGGTGCGTCACGGCCCGCGCCGGCGCGGCCGGCGCCGCCGCGACGGGCGCCGGCGCGACGGGCTTCGCCGCGACGGGCGCCGGCGTGACGGGCGCCGCCGCGACGGGCTTCGCCTCGGCCGGCGCCGCCTCGGCCGGCGCCGCCTCGACCGGCGGCGCCGCCTCGGCCGGCGCCGCCTTGGCGGGTGTCGACCGGTTCGCGAGGTCGATGATCATCTTGAGCGTCGCGTCGCGCTCGAAGACGACCGTAGCCGCGAGGTCCACGTCCGTCGGCTGCGCTTCGAGCTCGATGACCATCAAGCACTTGCGCTGCTCCGCGAGGGTGCGGCAGGTCGGCACCTCGACGCCGCTGTCGGACAGCGTCTTCAGGCAGCTCGCGAGTCCGCCGCGGCCGAACTTGCCGACGGGCAGCGGCTGGCCGACGCGCATGAACGCGCTCTTGAGGATCAGATCCTCCTTCTCCTCGGCGTCCGCCGTGCGCTGCAGGGGCGTCGCCTTCTTGCACATCGGGCAGACCAGCTCCGTGAGCGAGCTCGGGATGGCCTTGCGCACGTAGTCGCGCGCGCACTCCTCGCACATGAAATGCGAGCAGGTCATGCTGATCGGGTCACGCGGCACGTCGAGGCAGATCGGGCACTCCAGCGCATCCTTGATGCCCGCTGCGAGCGCGTCGGTCATTGCCAAATTTTGTGCGCGTCGCAGGCCTCCTCGTCCTCGACTGTTTCCGGTGAGCACGGCGTGGCAGGCACCCGCGGCGTTCGGCGTGTACACGCGGTCGTAGCACCTGCGACACAGGGTCCCAGATGCTGGACTCGCTGTGCACCTTCACCTTGTCGTGCAAGTTGCACACGCAGGATGGATGACTTACTTTCGATTCACGTAGGGCGGGGGGCGATGGTGCTGGTTCAGGGGAAGCGGGGCTGCGCGGGCGCGAAGTCCTCGTAGTGGCGGGGCGTGCGCTCCTCCGGGAGCGGGACGGCGACGAGGGGCGTCGTCAGGGGCGTGCAGGGCAGCAAAAGGGCGCGACGAGTGCGAGAGAAGAGAATCGAGAAACGCGCACTCGCTTCTCTCTCGCTCTCTTTTGGTCCGCTCTCGGCAATCACCCGCACTTCTCTCGCTCTCGCACCCTCGTCGGCGACGCTTCCTTCTCTCGCTCTTGCCAAGAGCCACCCTTTTGGACGACGCTAAAAATATCTAAAATCGATCATTTTCGGCCGAAAGTCGTCCAAATGTCTCAAATCGATCAAATCTGGTCATGGCGAGGTCGACTGACGCTCCAAAAAGGCCAGACTGACCCAAAGTAGCCTCCGCGCGTGGTCCACGAGCCGCACTCGTCTCTTCTCTCGCTCTCGGAGGCCTCGCTCTCGGCAATCACCCGCGCTTCTTTCGCTCTCGCACTCGGGCGCCCCGGCCGCACTCGTCTCTCGGATTTTCGCCAATTTAGCACGAGAGAAGGGTGGCTCTCGCGCCCTTTTGCTGCCCTGGACGATCATCTCGCCCAGGTCGACGAGGCCGCCCGAGCGAACCTTCGTCCCGGGGTCGTAGTATTGGTACGGCGGAAGCTCCTCCGAGAAGTAGCCGACCTTGAGCGGGACGTCCCGACAGCAGGCGCGCATCTCGTTCACGTGGCCCTGGGAGGATACCTGGCGGGCGATGACGGCGGCGGCGACCGCGGCGAAGAATTTCGAGCCCATCGTAAATGGTGGCCCCTTCGGGGGCGTCGACGAGGCCGGGGAGCAGGGGACCGCCGAGCGAGCGGACGAGGACGTGGGCGTCGACGACGGGGGCGACGAAGGGCGCCGGGCAGACGGAGCACCGGAGCGGCTGTGGTTGATGTGGCGCTGGCGAGCGTGAGTCGAGTGCGCACTCAGCCGTGAGGCCTGCCGTGGCCCATACAATCCAAACACTCGTGATCGCAGTATTACGGGAAACGCGGCGTCGAGGGAGCAAATTCCTCGTAGTGGCGAGGAGTCCGCTCTTCGGGTATGGGCAAGAACGCGGCGCCGACGGGCGCGGCGCCGCGCGAGCGCGTCCGGACCTCGTCGAGGAAGTCCTCGAGGCTCCCGCGGAAGCGCTCGACGGGCTCCGGCGGGCCGAAGGTCACGGACGGCTTGCTCGACCCGCCGAGATAGGAGAGCGCCTCCCTGGACGCGCGCCGCGCGGCCCGCCGGACCTGGAAGCAGTCCGGGAAGAAGCCCCAGCGTTCGAGGAGCGCGGCGACGAACGCCGCCGCGACGAACGACGTGAAGATCAAGAAGACTCCCGCCATGGACTTGAGCGTGATGCGCAGCGCGCCGACGCCAAAGGCCGACACCAGGGTCGGGTCGCCCGAGTTCTCGCAGTTGCCGTCCGCGCGGAACGAGTCGGTGTGCGTCTGGACGTAGCGGCGGTCGAGCTTCGCCGCGGCGATGGCGCGCGAGATGTTCCGCTGGAGCGCGAACGCGCCCGGGGCCACGATGCCGGGGAGGTAGGCGCCGGGCAGGGGGAGCGAGAGCACGAAGCGCGCCTTGCAGCGCTCGAGGAGCCGCTCCGTCGCGGTCGCGAAGTCGACCATGACGCTGTCGACGCGGCCCTTGTCGAGGCTCGCCATGCAGAAGTCAACGCGCTCCCGCCAGTTGTAGCTCGGCGGCGCCGCGACGACGCTCTCGACGATGTTCCCCGGCCAGCCCGCGGTCACCTCCTCGTAGATGAAGCACGCGGACGCGCGGCGGAGCTCGGCGTAGGTCGTCGGCCCCGCGAGCTCGTAGGTCCGCGTCGTGAGCCGCGCCGTCAGCGACGCCGTGTACGTCGACGTGACGACGAGCGCGAAGAAAAGGAGGCCGATGCGGAAGAGGCGCGCCGCCGCGCTCCGCCACTCGTACTCGTCGCCATCGAGCAGCACGGACGTCGCGTGGTAGAGCCAGGCCATGAAACCGCCGGGCCCCGCGTTGACGTGGACCTCGCGCGGGTCGAGCTCGTCGAGGACCTTGAGGAAGATCGCGCCGACGACGAGCGCGCCGAGGATCGGGAGCCAGAGCTGGAAGCTGAAGGGCTCGAAGATGCTGAAGACGCGTCGAGGCGCCTCGCGCTTGCGGATGACCGCGCGCGTCTCGAGGTCGATCAGGGGCACCGTCGTCAGGAACGCCGACTCCGGCGCGCCGGGGACGGCCTCGGGGCCGTAGCCGAAGGACGGCGCGGAGAAGGTCACGTCGACCTCGCCCGAGGCGATCATCGCGAAATAGCTCGGCACGCTGTCCGCGCCGATCGTGTCGCCCGTCCGCCCCATGTCGACCCATTCGACGGCATAGCCCATGGTCTCCAGGATGAGCTCGCTCAAGTCCACGAGGCCGCCGGATCGTTGGCCCGTCTCGGCGTCGTAGGCCTGGAACGGGGTGATGTTCTCGCTGAAGTAGCCGACCTTGAGCGGAATGTGCCGGCAGCAATCCTTCATCTCGTTGACCCGGCCCTGGCCGGACACGCCGACGAGCAGCGCGACGAATATCTGTGATGCCATCGGTAGCCCCGAGGGGAACGACGCTAGGGCAAGCACGGGAGCAAAGCGTGCCAAAGAATTCTGGCAAAAATCAAAGGTCGCCGAATTACACACATCCGCAGGCAAAAACAAAAAACACACCCGTCTTAGTAGAACCCCGCGTCGGTCTTCGGCGGCTTCGTGCCCGGTTTGGGCCCCGGGTACTCCCACTCGAACTTGGGCACGCCCGCGGGCTGCTTCGGGTTCGGGTCGTTGCCCTTCGCGTAGGCGCGCGGCGCCGGGGCCCCCGCGTCCGGGGCCCATTTCGGCCGGTTCGCCTCGTCGACGGGCGGCGCGTCCGTCGGCAGACGCGCGGGCCTCCTGGACTCGGCGTCGGCGAGCTTCCGCGCGCGCAGGACCGCGGCGCCGTAGGCCTTCGCCGCGGCGGCGTCGCCGGCGGCCGTTGCGGCCTTGCGCGCGGTGCGCCAGCTCTCGACGGCCTCGCCGGTCTCGCCCAGCGCCTCGAGGGCCGCGGCCTTGCGCGCGTGGGCCTTGGCGTAGGCGGGCCGCCGCTGCACCGCGCACCGCGCGTTTTCCAGCGCGCCGCCCGCGTCGCCGGCCTTGAGCGCGCAGAGCGACGCGTTCGCGAGGAGCACGGCCTCCTCGTCCCAGAGCCAGCGCACCTGGGGCGCGTGCCGGCCGCCGCCGTCGCAGAAGCCCCGCGAGAGCTGCGCGCCCAGGAGCTCGCGCGCGCCCTCGTAGGCCGACCGCGCGCCCGGGTAGTCGCCCGCGCGCCACCGCTCCGCGCCGAGCCGCTTGCGCACCTCCCACTCGCGGCTCCGCCGCGCGTAGGGCAGGTCCCGGCCGCCGAGGCAGGCGCAGGTCACGCCGACCGCGTTCGCGCGGAGCGCGCGCGCCGCGTCGGCGCACGTCGCCGTCCCGGGAACGAGCAGCGACTCGCGGAAACCGCGCGCCTCGAAGCAGCGCCGCAGCAGGGTCGGCCCGCCGGCGGCCTCGACGGCGGCGCCGATGAGGCGCGACGCGTTGTACGCGACCGCCGCGGCCCCCGCGTCGCCCGCGGCCGCGGCGTCGATCGCCGCGGACTGCTGCAAAGCCTGGCACTGCGGGTGCACGACGCCGGGCGCGTCGTCGAAGGCCCGCGCGATGTCGTAGGCGCTCGGCGCCGCCCAGAGCGCCTTGGCCGCGAAGGCCACCGCGAGGCGCGCCCGCTCCGCGACGCCGGGCTCCGTCGGGAACGGCGCGCCGTGGCAGCAGGTCGACTCGTAGGTCGGCAGCGCCGACGCGTTGGCCATCGTCGCCTCCTCCTCGTCGGAGTCGTCGTCGAGGCTCACGGCGACCATCGTGTGCTCCGCGAGCACCGCGGGCGAGAGATCGTCGTCTGCCATTGCTGCTGATGCGAGATCATCTCCCTGCTCTAGATTGCTCTCCCCAGCTCGCTCTAAATTAATGCTTAGTAGGGTTTTGTAAAACACGACTTTATTTCAGGATCGACGAGCTAGCGGCACCGCTCCGCCGAGCGCAGGGGTCGATCCGGGGACGTAAGGTCGTTCTGGGCCGCGCCCGCGCGTCGCGACCATGCTCGGAGTCTTTGCGCAGCTCGCGCACCGCTCGGCGGGGTCTGGCGGCGCGCGCCGATTGACACCACGTCGCGTAGCTCGTCGATCCTGAAAATAAAGTCGTGTTTTAGAAAACCCTTGCAAGCATGAAAATGCAATTGCATGTTGCAGTTCAAGCTGTGAAGGTGCTCCCAGATGGTGCTCCCGATCGGCGAGAACTAAGGATGAGCCGTCGAGGCCCCCTCCTCGCGATTCAAGGCGCAGTTCAAGCTGCAAAGGTGCTCCCGATCGGTGAGAACTAAGGGTGAGCCGTCGAGGCCCCCGTCACGGGGGCCGAGGCTTGCGCGCGGCTAGAAGTCGAAGGCCGCCTTGGCGCGGCCGCGGACGACGGCGATGGCCCGACGGCGCTCCGCGTCGACGTCGTCGCCGTGGCGCGCGGCGTAGACGTCGAGCAGGCTCTCGTAGAAGAGTTCGAGGAGCGGCACGTGCACCGAGTTGCCGAGGATGCGCCAGGCGTCGCGGTCGTCGAGGCCGAGGCCGTCGAACCAGTCCGCCGGAAAGCCCATGGCCAGGAGCGCCTCCTCGAGGCCGACGGCGTGCGTCGTGTCGTCGGCGACGCGGCGCTTCGCGGCGTCGCGCGGCGGAAAGCCCGCGCGGAAGCAGGGCAGCCGCGGGACGAGCGCCTCGAAGACGCCCGGCCCGTGGAGGTCGTCGAGGAGCGCCTGGTACGTCGCGTAGCCGCGCTCCGCGCGGTCCGCGGGCGGGAAGCTCGAGTGGAGCGACCGCGGCCGGTTGTGGCAGTGGCCGGGCCGCGTGTGCGCGCGCACGAGGGGCAGGCCCGCGCAGAGAAAGGTGTCCTTGTCCTATGGAACACGACGATTGCCAAAAAAAACGCGCTCGAGCTCCGGCGCCGCGCGCGCGCCTGCGTCTCGCCCTCCTTGATGACGTTCTCGCAGAGGATCTGCAGCTTCGGGTTCTCGCGGAGCGCTTGCCTACGAGGACGGTCGAATCGCTCCGCGTTTCCGGGCGCGCGTCGCGCCGCCGCGCGCCAGAGGAAGGCCGAGTTCGCAAAGTGGGGCGTCGCGTTCGCGCCGCTGTAGCCCTCGCGGCGCGCGTTCGCGCGCGAGAGGTCCTGGCAGGGCCCCGTCGACGAGAGGACGTCGACGTCCGCGGGCACGTCCGCGGCCGTGAGGCGGCAGACGTTGCCCTCGACGGGCACCGCGGCGCCCGGCGCCTCCTCGCGCCGCGCGCGCGCGGCCGACGGCATCGGCGACTCGTACTCGATGCCCTTGGCTCTGCAGAATTTTTCGAGGGGCGCGCGCGCGAGGCGATCGATCTCCCAGTTGATGACCCGGGCGATCTTCAGGCCGACGCTGTACATGGCGTAGACGCACGCGCCCATGCCGCCGCAGAGCAGGCACACGACGAGGCCGCGCGCGGGATCGCTCCACGTGATCTTCCCGTAGAGCTCCGCCATCCGCTCCTCGACGAGCGGCTTCGTCGCTTCGGGCGCCTGTTTCTGGCACCCCGCGAGCCGCTCGAGCTGCGTCCGGAAGGCTTCGCGGCCGGCGGCCTCGCGCTTGAGTTTCTCAAAGTCCTTGAGCAGGTCCCGCGACATCATGGACCCCGTCCGCGACTCCATCCACTGCGACCGGTACGTCGCGTTGAGGTCCGAAGGGCCGTAGGACACGACCGTTTTCTGCCGTTTCCGGTCCCCGCCCTCCGGCGCCGCGCGTCGCGCCTTCTCCTCCGGCGGCGGCGGCGCCTCGTCGTCCGCGGGCGGCGCCCCGTCCGTCGGCGAGAGCTCGCAGTCGCGGACTTCCTTGCGCATGCACTCGTCGACGTCCCGCGACCCGGCGGCGTTGGCGTCCAGCACGACGTCGTAGAGGTTCCGCGTCGCCGTCTGCCGCCAGACCAGGGCCGCGTCGTAGGCGCCCGTCCGCTTGTCGTGGAGGAAGACGCGGTCGCCGCGTCGGTAGCCCTCCGGGCGGTCCAGCACGACGACGCGGCCCGTCGCGAGGCGCTTCCACGACACGGCGCGGCCCCACGGACCCGAGGGCCGGAGCCGCGCCGCTGGCAGCTTGAAGGTTCCGAGACTGTCGATCTCGTCACCGCGCGTCCGCGATCGAACCTCGACGTAGCCGCCCCCCTTCTTCACGCCGGGGAGCCAGACCTCCTCGTCCGAGTAGAGTTCCGACGGTGGCGTGCAGCGCACCTCGATCTGATCCTCGAAGCCGACGCGGTGCCACCGCGGCCGCAGGTGCTCGCTGAGCCACTCGGCGGCGCCCACGGCGCGGTCGTGGGCGGCCGCTTCCAGGTTCTGGCGCGTGAGACTCCGGAGCTTCCGCGCGATGAGGCCCAGCGGATCGTCGGACGCGTCGATCGACGCCGTCGTCAGGCCGAGGACGGACGCGCAGTCCGGCGCCGCGACGATTCGCTCGCTCGTCGCCGACGCGCGCTCGTTCGACGCGGGCGCGGACGCTTCCTCCTCCTCCTCCGTCTCCTCGGGCGCGCTCTCCTCGGCCGCCGCCGCTTCCGCCGCCTCCTCGGGCGCGCTCTCCTCGACCGCCGCCGCTTCCGCCGCCTCCTCGACCGCCGCCGCTTCCGCCGCCTCCTCGACCGCCGCCGCTTCCGCCGCCTCCTCGGGCGCGCTCTCCTCGACCGCCGCGTCGACCTCCTCGAGGTTCCGCAGCCCGACGAGCTGCTCCGTGCCCCCCTCGCGGCGCACGATCCAGGCCTCGCGCACGTTGTGCGGAGCCACGCGGACCACCTGCCAGACATCGTTCGACGGAAAGTCGCGCCGCCGGACGAGCATGCCCTCCCAAGCGGTGGGGAGCCCCGAGGACCGCCTCCGGCGCTCCATCGAGAACTCTCGCGTCGAGGGCGCGAACTCAGAGGTCCGTTACCCTAGATATTGCAGCTAAGCTGAAGTGAGTGCAGCTAGCTCCGGAACAGACAATGGGCTGCCGATCCGTAATGGTGCGGTGCGTGCTCGTCGTCGCCGTTGCCGTTGCGAGCGCCGGCAGCGCCTCCGGAGGCCCCGTGGCGCTGCGGCCGCAGGGCGATCGCGTCAGGACGCTCGTCACCGAAAAGATCGTCCCCCACGTCGCCATCGGCTGGAAGGTGCTCATGCTCAAGGGCCCGGTCGAGAATTTCCTGCGGCGCTTCATCGGCGGCGCGAAGCAGCGGGCCTTCGTGTGGGGCCAGTACACGGCGGCGCGGGACGAACTCATCGACGCGAGCCAGCTCAGCGGCGCCGCACTCGCGCGCGTGCTCGACGACCTCCGCATCGAGTACACGCACCGGTACCCCGCGTGGCGCGAGCTCTTTCTACTCTAATCGCCGAGGAAGCGCCGCTATTTAGGGTCGTCTAGGAACCGCGCCACGAAGGCCACGAGCGTGTCGACGTCGACGCGGTAGGCGTGGTTCCGATAGTCGCCGTTCGTGAGTTCGGGGTCCGCGTCGTCGACGGCGTGGGCCGCGCCGCGGTCCGTGTAGCGCACGAAGCCCCGGTGCTCGCGCATCATGAGGCTTCCCGCCAACAAGCTGATGAAGTTTTCCTCGTTGCGCGAGCACATCGTCGGCGGGCAGACGTTGATCCACCGCGTCGACGCCGGGCTGAAGACGAGGTTCGCGACGGCCGCGCCGAAGGGCGTGACGATGGTGGAGTAGTTCGCCAGCCCCCGGACGCGGTCCTCCATGGTCCCGAACGCGCTGAACTCGAGCACGTCGGCGCCCAGCGCCTCGAGGGCCTTGACGAAGTCGGGCTCGTTGAGCATCGCGCGGCCTTTCCCGACGGCCGCGTCGCGCCGCGTGAAGTAGGCGAGGCGCTTCGTCGGCGGGCCGCGCACGAAGCGCCTCTGGAGATCGCCGTGGATCTCTCGCAATGCCTTCAAGCCCAGCGCGGACCAGTCGCCGAAGTTTTCGGCGGCGTACGGCGGCACCCACACGTGGCCGTACGCGGGCTGGTTCTCCATGTCGCCGATGATCTTCGGCGTCAGGCCCGTGGCGAGCCGCACGCTCTCGACGTGGAAGGCCTGGCGCATGTGGGGCCCGAGCACGAGCTCCGGCGGCGGCGCGTCCGGCCGCGCCCGCCTCAGGAGCTCGGCCGCGATCCACGCGCGCGGCAGCAGCTCGAACATGAAGTGCTGGAAGTTGCCGCCCCAGGGGTTCGCGAGGAAGACGGCCTCGCGGTCATTGACGCCCTCGCGCGCGAACTCGCAGAAGCGGTCCTGGGGCGACGCGCGATGGCTCCGGCCGCTGCAGCTCGGGATGTCGAAGCCCTCGAGGAGCGCGAGGCCGCCGTCGGGCCGGATCTTCGCGCGCGCGAAGCGGTAGAACTCCGTCGTCCAGCCGTACCAGCCGTCGCCGAGGTCGCAGCTCAGGTAGGCGTCGTCCCGCTTCTTGCAGCGCCGCAGCGCGTCGACGGCGCGGTCGAAGACCTCGTCGCCGAGCTCGTTGAGGCAGCGCGGCTCGTCCTTGCAGCGCCGGTCGGGCGGCGCCGCCAGAGCGCGCGACGTGGCGTTTCGAGCGCGAGCGCGCGCGCAACAGAGCAGCCAGGCGGCAGCTAAAAGCATCATCGCGTTCCCATCGTTGTGCTCGCAAACAAACCCGCCGGGCTAAAAACTATCAAAAGCAACACCTCGGGAGCTGCATCGTTGCGATTATTGAAGCAATTACACGCGATGGACGCGCTCCGAGCGTGGCCGAGTCCGCAGTGGTGAAGGTGTCTCTCTGCAGTAGGTGATTGCGTGGGACGGGTTC